AAGACATTCATGGTTATGCGGAGTTCAGCTTCCGAAACAGTCTGGCACACTCACACGACCCAGTGGAACATTGGACTTGCATCTCGTATGAAGCTGGTGCGCAAGGCTTGAAGATGGAGGGTGCTACGACCGAGGCTCGAGAGATCTTGCCATGACGTGAATGGACTAGCTCTTCATAACAGAAATCCACCAACGGGGGAGAATCGGTGACAAAAGTCCAATCATAGCCTCCTGGAGTGGGCTAAAGTAATGCGTTTGCCGCAGAGTTAATTGTTGGTCGTTGGAGGAGAGGCTAGCGAAGCCTGTCAATGGTTAGGCGCAGGGACTTCGTTATCTCCAGAGAAAATCCCTAAAGTTCAATTCCGCAATAACAGAAATTCGCTGGGATGGGCGCCAGGCTATTTAATGAATTCCGAATTTAAATGAACGAAAATAGTTTTAAGGTTAATTATAATATGAGCTTAGGAAAGCAGTAAACGCTTAAATGTAAATGGAAATATTAGCTTAGAACTATAATATTTTTGACATGTCCCGCCGGGGCTACAATTTTTGTCAATAGCAAATTAACAGAATAAATCTAGGAATTAACCCCTAAGAAAGAGCATTTTATGCACACGTATATGCAATATACCACCGCCAAGCAAGCTTCACTTCAGTCTAGTATGGACTGTATGGTCTTGGTGTTGAGGCGGCCTATACAAGCATTTTCAGCTATTTAGTTTCCAAATTCCAACGTAATTAGCTAACGCGTCTAGAAATAGAATCGCCACTATTAATCCACCCAGCATAATCTGCTACAAAGCTTTTTTTAGGTTCTGTATTTCAAACATATATGACAACTCTCCAGTCCAGAAGAATAAAATCTCGACGGAACTTTAAAATTTATTGATTGATGAAATAACTTTAAATTCAAAGTTCATAGATATAGAGCCAGGAACTTTCTCCGCAGGCCAAATTCAAACATAACGGTGCAGCCGATGTGAATTGCTCAAGCTTCAATTAGACTAAAAGTTAGCATAGCTACAAAAATGCTCTCCGTTAATTCCTACGAATGTATTCCTTAACCTTTCCTAATATAATTCAGATTGATCAACGAGTACGGTAAGACTGTCAAAATGGATCAAGCTTTGACTTATTGGATTTAGGATAGAAGTGTCGTAGGCAAACCTGCCATGCTAATGAGCAATAATCCTCCACTAGAGGATTACCGCCCAATGGCAGTTATTCTATCAGTAAGAAAAAAAAACGCTCAAGTACTCTGGTCCATCAACTTTACCTGTGCCGGTCACTACTATAGGTGCTTATACACGGGGCAATTAGTTGAATCGACAATAGTTTTGCAGGCCGAGAGCCTATACACGAGAGTGTTTTCAGTACAGTGCGCCAGCGCCACCGCCGTCCGCCAGTGCGACGTTGGGAGTTGTCGAGTAAGAGTGCATGGTGGAGGCAAACGAGAGCTCGATAGCTGTGTGAGCTACAGTGGGCAAGAGCTCGAAAGAGCGACGCAGCAGTACGAAGGCCGAGCCGCTACTGGGTACACTAGACTGTCTAGATTCTAGAAACAACCAGAGCTGCTCTGGGTGCAATGCAACAGCTAGTTGCCTCTGAAGACGTCAATCATCACAAATTTTAGTTGCGTCCACTAGTCGACGAAACTATTCGCCTCGTAGCACCTTATGAATAGCATTGCAATTAATTAATTAGTTCAATAATTCAAAGTAATTCAATTCTGAATTACACTGCAATTAAAATCTCTGAGCCTTCGCTCACTTATAAAATTTCTAAATGGATGTTGCTTATTGCAAAACTTAGATCGTACTCCAGCACACCATGCTACTTGATATATAATTTATCCTCAAATTACCTAATATAAATTTAAACTTCTAAATAAAAACCACCTCTCTTTACAGCGACTTCGACTCGGGCGAAGAATTTTATTTCATCACGGTAAACCCCATTGAAACTGCCTCGATCTTCCCACTGTTCAGGCATTTACAATTCTATGGAGCATTTGTTGCTCTGCTCGAGCCAATCTACTACAAAAATAAGATTTGGGAAATTCCATTGCTTACTATTGAAGAGGCTATCACCTTAGCAGCACCCATTAACCCAGCCAAAATTTTTCTCACGAACATCATACCCGACCATCCGGGTTTCTGAGGCTCCAACCTCATTACCACATTCTTTTTTTCAACATTAGAACTACCTTTAAATCCAATGTTAATTCCTATCAAGTTGTCCAGCCCCATTCTTCGATGGATACCACGGTCCCGGAATCCTCTGCCCAGCTCCTCAGGCGCGGTCTGCCGGCAGTGTGCAAATGGCCTTATTCTGCTTGGTAACTGTGCCAAATCAACTCCTCCACCTTACCAGCTATACGAGTGCCTCGTTCGCGAAATATTTCATCACTGAAAATTCGTTGACAGTAAGTAAAATATGACTTTTTCTGCATCGTAAATATAAATAATCGGAACTAACGTGCACTGTAGTATAAAATTCAATTGATAGCATTATAACTTCATATACTTACAACTTGAATATCAACTGCTATACCAAATACATATAATTTAAATTAAAATTTCAGATGATAAACCTGGACATCCCACTCTTGAAAACTTCCATAGGTGAAACCCTCCGCTACTGCTCAGAGAAATATTGGGCAAGGCCTCACGAAACTACATATTTCTACCATTCGTCCAGCGACCTTGCTTCCTCATGCACCGCTTTTCACCACGGAAGCACCAGAGCCTGCCGACATACGTACATGCCGAACCCATCGAACGGAGGCCACGAGCTCGTCGTTTCGGTGCGCAAGACGAGAACCCAGCGTCACTGTTTCCCTGCTTTACTATACCCAAGCATCGTCTTCCTCCACATTTACCCCAACTCTCCACCTTACCGCCATGGCTGGATGGAGGCTTTCTTTGCAGACCTTTAATGCTTATCCGAATTAGGTTAGGTTAGTTTACAACTCGTATAGATCCTCTTTTCATGGCGTAAGGCAGTCAAGTGAGCAGAAACTACGAAAAGCCGTCCGGCAGTCGGTGCAAAACGGCGGGGAGACGGGGTAAGCGTGGAGGTAGAGTTATGCTGGGGGAAAACAGCTGCGACGAACGGACGGGCTGGAGTGCTGGCCGTGCACCAACAGCGCTGTGGCGTAGGAAGTTCCTTACCGAAAATCGTGAGGAGGTTAGACGGCATGGGATAAAACTTTTGGGCGGTTTTAAGTACGGCTTAGAGCGATTGTATTGGTTGCTTACTTCTCATTAGCTCGCTGGATTATTTCAATGATGGGGATTTGTACTTATGGCTTTTAGCAAATAATCACTTAGGCTACTCTTCCCTGTAGCAGGCTTACGCACGGAAAAGAGTGTGAAAGATATGCTGGAATTGGGCAATGCTGGCCTCTAGCATGCATCCCGTTCTTGCATGGTAGTTTTGTTTTGTATCTTGCGTAACATCCTAACTCCTTTTCTTGTTATTGACGTTTTTACTGTAATCAGATCTTTAAGGGAGATGACGCCATTTCATTATTCATCAGGCCCTTGTGATTTTTCACAATTTTTCGTTTGTGCCTTAGTATTTTGCCCTTCACAAAACTTTCAGGCAAAATGAGGGATGAGCTTTGAGCACTCAAAGCCTCAATATACTGGAACGTTTCTGTTGCTTTGAAATAAGTTTTGGTGTCCATAAACTTTTTCTAAGAAACTTTTGAGCTCATTCGGAGATACAGAAATGACATTTTCATCTTGAGTGAAGCATGTGAGTGGCCAAATGTTTACTAGCGCTTCAGCTATTTAGCTATCTCGCACCGAAAGTCAAGATGAACATCACCATAGAGGTGGAAGGTCTCGATTATTCATCATCCACATGGGGCGTAAGGTCTCAATTGTCCAGCCCGCTGAAGCTGGCTCGAAAGAAGCAGCGTAAGCATCTCAAAGAGATGAAGTGACAAGAAGGGACAGGTGAAAAGCAACAGAAACGAAGACACTCGAACAAGAGGTCGCTTACACGGGACGTCGGCCGCCCGCACGAGAGAGACAGAGAAGGGAAATGTAAGGAATCCTACCTACATAATAACTTAACCCCACAACTGAGTCCCACAGTCAGACACCGTGAGCTCAGCGGTGGGGCGCTCAAGAACAATCCCCCTAGGGAGGATCTCTAAAGTTTCTACGAAAAAGTTAACTAGACACACGAGTAATCAAAATTTACGATGGAAATCAGCAATCGGGAGCTTAACTTTCTCGGATTTTCTAAAACTAAACTCGGCGAAAGGAAATTGGTTACTTGGGTGTCCCATCCTCTACAAGCTTTTTGAATTTGTATCAAATGTTTATAACATTGTGCGTTTGGTTCTGAGAAAAGATTTGCTCTCATCTCGCATCATAATATAGTAACGCAAGCACGAGAGCTTTGCGCAAAATACCACAGATAAAGATATGATCATATACATATTATAAATCTCACGAGTGCAATGGTCATCCACGACAACCAAAATTCGTATTTGGTTACGCAATCAATTATGATGAAGGTTTAGCAAATTTACATACTGAGAAGAGGCAATTTTATTCGATGAAGGAAGGGAGGCATAAGCAATAAACAAAAGTTCACAATTTATTTTCTTTGATAAAAATTCCAAAAACGTTCTGGCTTATCAAAATAATTTTCCAGCTCAGGATTTCTACTCGATTCTGATGTGAAATTAGACTGGTAGTAACGACGAGGTAAGAATAAATATTATCCTCAATATTCCTCTAAAAACATAACTATGCATGATTTCCGAAGAAATTTTTCACACTTGTATAAGTGCCCCGTACTATAGGATGGTTATTTTACCAGAAACCATTTTAAATATTGTGAGGTAAATAACCTGGACCTAGGCAGGACCTATGGGTCTTGACAAGACCGAAAGACTTTGGCAAAACCAGTTGCAATCGATTTCATTGCAATCGATTTTTCCCACCATAGTAAACAAGAGGTAGCATATAACATTTGAAAGCGTTATTTAGTCCGAGTGTTTATGTGGTTACTATACCGCGTGCTGGAGCATCACTCGGTAATCAATATTCCCTTATGATAAACTTTGGCTTATAAATTAAATTTCGATTTCAAAACCGTTGAAAAGCAGCTGATCATATTACTTGAAGTAGAAAAGAGCGTCAGTGGTAAATTTGTTGAGAGACAATCGTTCAAAAGCAATTATAGCATATCACCTTAAAATTATTCTCTTATCTTATCAGGAAACGATATAGCTTTAAATTTATTGCTAATAAATGCCCCAATTCGTTCCCAGTGAGGCTCCATCATCATCCCTGGGCCAATCATCAATCATTTACGTATCTTATCACACATTCCAACACCACCACTGCGCTCTATAACTGATTGAATATCATTGAAAAATAAGAAGTACAGGAGCGGTAATACTACCAAAAGTAAAACCACTAGAGGTAGTACTCAGTAGTAAGAGGGAACAATATCTACGTATAGAATGAAGCAGAAGTACTAATATTTCAAATTTTTAAAAGAATAAATTTCTCTTAAGCAACTCCTGCTCCCTGCGAAAAAATCTTCGTTCACGGAAGTGTGAGCTTGGACATAAACTCGAGGACAGAATCCTTGAGCCAGTCAGAGAACAAATGGACGTTTGTGAAGACAGGGACGGAGCAATCCACGGTCCGGGACGACGAGGACGTCACGCCCGACACCGTCCACGCTTCTGGGACGCTTTCGTTGACGAGGTTCTGCAAGAACGGCCCTCCTGACGAGCCTCCCACGAGCAGAACTGAGCCACCGCCTACAGAAACAGGTAATCAAATTATATTATTGAGTAAGTTTCGAAAATAATTATTAAGGTAAGAATTATCATTAATCTCATTCATATCTGTTTCTGGTCTATTAAGGAACAGAACGTATCTGTGTCAGAGTAACAAGTCAGCTTTTGTGGACCACGACCTCGTCCTGGATTTCACCCCCGCTTTGGACTTCACTTCTGCCGTGGGCTTCACTTCCGCTCTGGACTTCATCGCTGCCGTGGACTTCACCTCCGCCCTGGGCTTTACCCCATCCGTGGATTCCACCTCTACCGTAGGCTTAGTCCCCGCGCAAGGCTTCATCCTGTTTTTCACTTCAATCTCCACCCCAGACTTCACCCTCCACTCAAGACTTTAACCCAGCCCAAGAATTCACCCTCGTTTTGGATTTCACCCCCGTTGTGGACTTCACCCCCGTCTCGGACTTCTTTTATCCCGTTTCACCTCAAAAGCCTCTTGTCCAGTTTCTTTGGGACATTTTCAGCTGATAACTCTGCCCAGCCGTGATTCTTACATATTGAAATTAGGAAAAAATTTTTTATCTGATATGCTACTGATATTTTTCAGCTCGCAGAGCGAAATATTCATAATTAAATACTACTCCATGATTGACCTCTGCCCTCGGCGCAGAACTGCGACTCGGAGAGCTGCAGTGTAGGACACTCGTTGACCTGCGCCCGACACTCGGGCGACACTTTCATCCCCACGACCTCGTACTCGAAAGTAGGCTTTCCGAAGCTGCGATTGAATGCCTGTCGAGAAATGTTTAGTAAAGCTTACAACAAAAATTATATATCGCTTCACGAGCATATAATTTCTCAAGGAATATGAGATTTAAGAGGGTAAAACATGCATAATTTATGTCATTTCAAGATTCCCAGTGGCATGTTTGTAAAATTGTTGATACAAAAAAAGTATTGAAAGAAAATTTGATGATTACGACCTTGCGAGGTGTTTTTAAGTACGATATGGCGAGGTACATGTAAATACGATATGGCGAGGTGCATGTCGGTACGATATAGCGAGGGGCATGTAAGTACGATATGGCGAGGTGCATGTCGGTACGATATGGCGAGGTGCATGTCGGTACGATATGGCGAGTTGCATGTAAGTACGATATAGCGAGGTGCATGTAGGTACGATATAGCGAGGTGCATGTCGGTACGATATGGCGAGGTGCATGTAAGTACGATATAGCGAGGGGCATGTAAGTACGATATAGCGAGGTGCATGTATCAGGCGGTGGACAGTCCCGTAACAATTATAAGAGCTACCACAAAACAAGAGGACGGATACATTTCTCCTTCAGACTCAGAAATACATGAACAATTCGTTAACATAGCTTTCCCTTTAAATTGGAATGCTGAAATCATCAGACATTTTAGCTGCCGCTATCTGATTAACATTCGATCGCTGTCATGACCGAGCTAGAGAGCCACATGTCGGGTCTGAATTGAAGAGCTGCTTGTTGACCACTCTGAAATCAGTCACGTTAAAAGGACTTTGCTCGGGACTGAGACCGGAAGATAATCACTTGAGCAGAGAGACTGATGTTTCTAGAACTTTCGCAGTCCAAATAATACTAAGATATCACGAATAAACAATTTAATACTCAAGACAGCAGGAAAGAAGCTGCGCTCAATTTCACAGAGACCAGTAATCAGGAAATGATGGGTGAACAACAACAGAAACCAATGAAGCATGAAAAGCAGACACTTGCACGGTACGTCGAACAAACGCTCAAGCCAACGCAGAGCAATCAATTGCATAGAATCATAGACATTTACACGGTAACTTTCAACAGCAACTGAGACCTTTGGTCAGAAACCGCGAGCATTGTTAGGTGTTGTTCAGGAATAATGCCCCTGGCTACGACGAAATTAGTCATCAGGATTAACATTAGTAATGCTTAACGTTGGTGGTAGCTAATGATAATATCGTAAATGACTTCAAAATGGACTGGAATTGCTGCGTAAATTTGTTATCTCAATAAATAGATATATGCAATCAGGCACGAGGAATAATAATGAGTTGGCTATAGGGTCACCGAGAAATGTGGTCCTGATTTGTTAAGTAGCTTGTCTGTAAATAATTGCGCATGTCAATGGCATTCGCCTGTAAAAGTACATGAGCCCAATTCGCGCTAAAATTACGATTCAAGTATGATGAATATAAACAATCTGAGAACTAAAAACGATTTTTTTTTTTTGCTAACTCGTGAGGATGCAAACGTGATAATTTTGCCACTCCGATGTTGAAAGAATCAGTAAACCTGTCCGAGTGTGAAGAAGTTAAAAACAATGTCAAATTCTTTTTGTTATCTGATAATACTAGTAAAATTTTTTTAAAATTGCAAAATAACATGGGAAAACCAAGATACAGTGCAGGATCTATTACCTATTAAGTATCATTATATTACATCAGTGGTTCCCAAAGTGGGTGAAATCCCCCCTAGGGGCGGTGGAAAGATTTTGGGGGGCGGTAAGGAAGAAGAGGGTGGTAGGGGGGCGATAGGGAGGGCGGTAGTCGGAAGTCAATGCCAGAAGTTCGAACGTTTGTTTGACGATTTATACACAACACGTGCAGCACATGACTCCCGGCGATGGTTTTTTCACCCAGATCTGTTTTTTAACCTCTCCTGGGTTTACGTCTCGGACAAATTAACGGCCGGACTCGCGGCCGGTATTACGGCCAATTTCCAAATTCAATGATCAAGGAATATCTCTCAAACGGATGAACTTAACTCGATGAAACTTGGTACACGTATTCATTAGGACCTAAAGATAATGTTTTGCTCGTGAAAATTGTTTGAATTTTGCCATCGTTTGTTTTTACCATACTTATATGGCAATACTGGCCGAAATTCACAGTGATCATGTAATTTCTTCCTAACTACTGAACAGATTCGAACGAAATTTTAAATTTACAGTCCAACTACCGAACTGTAATGTTTAGCTCGTAAATTTTTTTTCGATTGTGCCTTCGTTCGCGAGTTTTTTTTTTTTTTTTCATTTCACCTTCATTCGTGATTTAAGCAGCTATACGTGCATAAATTCGCAGCAATCAAGAAATTTTTCCTTAACTACTGAACAGATTTGAACGAAACTTATTATTTAAATACCTAACCTCAGCAACGGTGATGTTTACAATTTTTTCGTATTGCCTTCGTTTGCGAGTTAACGGCTATACGTATAAGGCTTTTGGTTAAACCGGCCGGTAGAAAAGCCAGTCGTTCCTCCTATATCTGTATAACTCACGAACGAAAACAAATTAGAAAAATTGTCACGAGCTAAACATCACCGTTGAAAGGTTAGGTATTTATATACAAAGTTTCGTTGAAATCTGATCTGTAGTTTAGAAGAAATTTTTTGATCGCCGCGAATTTAAGTGACAAATTACCCGGCGATACGGGCAGAATATAAGGAAGTGTGAAATCAAGATTGACGGTGAAATGAAAAAAAAACTTGCAAACAAAGGTAAAATTGAAAAAAATTTTATATGCTAAAAAATCACCGTTTGGTAGTAAGGAATGTATCTATATTCAAAATTTCGTTCAAATTTGTTCAATAGTTTGTAAGAAATTCTTTGATCACTGCGAATTTCGGCCTGTTTCGCAATATACGCGTAACTCTCGAATGAAGGTGAAATTTAAAAAAAAATTAAGCGCTAAACATCACCGTTAGGTTCTGATGAATATGTGTTCCAAGTTTCATGGAGCTGCGTTCATTCGTTTGGGAGATATTACTTGATAGTTGAATTTGGAGATTGGTCGTGAGACCGGCCGCGAGTCCGGGCGTAAATTCGCCCGATCTGTCCTAGGTTTCTAGTGTCGAAACAATTAAAACAGCTGAAAAAATATTGGGTCACTTAATGGGGTTCTATTTGTGAAATACACATTTGTGTTTAACCTTCATCTTTTAAAATTGTAGCGTACTAAATTTCAAGAAAGAGGCGTATGTCTGTTGGGGGCGCTAGAAATTAACTAGGGAGCCAAAAGGGGCGCCAGCCTGAAAAAGTTTGGGAAGCACTGTATTACATATTATTAACTATCGGAATATGCTTAATCCGAGCCGTTCTTACGACGGCATGGACGCGGGCGTTGAGCTGGGCGTCCGCCACGCAGGCGGGATAGAGCTCCGCGCTGTACACCAGAGGCGTCTGGAGCTCCACGAGCGCGATGTCGTTGCGGGGGCTGCGGCCGGTCTGGTACGAGGGATGCAGGCGAATTTCTTTCACCTAAGATTAATAGTATTATATTTAAGATGGATTGAATGCAGAGAATATTGTTAAATACATGAAATGCAGGCGAGATACTTTGTGCTAAGATTAAGAATATTATATTCAAGACGGATTCAATACCCGCAATATCGTTAAGTTATAACAAGGTGGAACACACCTGTGCCCTGCAACACGTTTAAACTCGGAAAATGAGTACAATATTGTCCTAACACAGATTATGTAACACAACAAATTTTTAATTTTTTTGAGATTTTAATGTATGCATCGCTGCATAAATTGAAATAATTAGTGAATCAAATCAGCCAGTTATCATAAAATGTAATTGCGCTGCTAAAGTTCCCTCACTGCAGGAAGCCAGAAAGTGGAACAAGGAAGCGGCACAAAAAACAATAAATTAATAAAGTAATACTCCGACTACTATAACCAAATAGGCATCAAGGATTGGATGAAATATCTTTTGTTAAAACGAGCGTATGTCTTGTCATCAATGAGCAATGTCATCTCATGTCATCAATGAGCAATGTCATCTCATGTCATCAATAAAAATGTCATCTCATGTCATCAAGCAATGTCATCTCATGTC